TGAGCTTGGAATTTTGGAATTCTTCAGGGGTAAACAGTTTTGAGCTTGGAATTCTTCAGGGGTATGACAATGAAAAACATGTATCCTCGACAGGGGGGTACGGATATTAAATGGAATAGCCCAATCCTGCTTGAGTTGAGTCAACTTTTACAGTTGGCTTCGATCAGTTAAAAAACTATCTAAAACTCCAACTAATTCTTTGCACACCACGTAAAAAATTTAGACCATCAAAGTGCACTAATCACGCGCATTTTCATTCAAAAAATATTATTTTACCGTAATACATGTAAAGTTTTTTTCTCACTCCCTGTCGGCCGCCATGTTGAATTTTCACAATGTTTCGAATCTGCATTCCGTTGTAACCAGCGGTCGTTGATAAAATGACGTCATGTGACGTCACGCGTGCAAACATGGCGGGGGATTTAAATACTTACATTTTCTCAAATTCTGCTGAAAAGTTTGAACAAATTGCCGTTTGGTGCGGTTCTTAAAGCTGGTTTTCTTCTTAAAGAAACGAAATACATAACTGAAGGAAATTTGAAGGAAATTTGCCGTTTAAAATGTAAGTTATAGGGGCCTTAAAATGTTAAAAATGTAAACTATAGGGGCCTCGTCTTAAAAGTCCAACAGGATTTCCCGAGGGATTTCCAGAGGTCTCTAGCCCGTTTACATATTCTTAAATATTCAACTTGTAAATATTATTTGTGGGTAAATAAAACTAATAAAAAAAAAGTAATGTTTAAACTAACTTGCGAATATTAGTGACAGTATATATAAAGGAATATCGAAGGAACTAGACTAGTTCCGAAATATCACATACTCGAACCGAGCTGACCGCGTAGCTCAGTTGGCAGAGCATTGGGCTAGTATATCAAGGGTCATAGGTTCGATTCCCATCGTGGCCGGGCGTATTTTTCAAGCTATATATATATATATACACTCAGACTTAGGGTAACATCACAAGCATCATATTCACCTGAGTACATTACACCAACGCAGAAAAAATTCAAGAATCTCAGAATTTCACTATTAATAACTAAACTAATTAGAATAGACCGGGTAGGTCTGAACTGTTCTCTCTGGAGAGCTAGTAAGGGCCGCTCTTACAATATTGGCCCTTGTGTTTCAATGTGTTTAATACCACTGTTAGTTTCGACTCAAAACTGCTCTCCCATGAAGAGATCCAATGAAACCATTCCTTGGAAACTAGGCAACATTGTTGCCATAACATAGATTATGAAACAATGTCGTGAGAAACTTTTATAGTGCATAAAAGTAAGCCAGAATTCCCAGAAACTTATATAAATGCTTGGTAAAGTCAAACTTGGACTTGTAAGTACATACTGCCCAGCCTCACAGACATTGCACTGTATGTGAACCTCATAATACAGGAAATCAGAAATCAAATCAGAAATGATGGCATTAAACACTGCAACCGACACTACACCCCCATATAACCAAATACATGTATATTTAAACTTTGTTTACAGAACCCAGTGAGTATCACTCGCTGTATTATACAATAATACAATTGTGTTTGCTGTCCAGTGCTTTGTTTAAAATCCCCAGGGATGAAACATTTTTATTACCATCTTTGGAATGTTTTAATGACTACTTAATCACTGTAGATTTGAAATAACTACAAGCACAATACGGTATAATCACCCACAGCGCAACTTAACTAACAAGCATTTCGTCTATAATAGGTAACATTGAAACACAATTATGTGTAACCATAGCAACGATTATAACATCCCCAGCGGTGTAATTTCTAACATTTGGTGTAATTTATGATTCTTAATTAGAACACTGTCGGTTATTAAAGACTGGTTTATAGCTACTATCAAAGTTTCTGTGATCACAGTAGGAATTCTGCGTAGGTAAATTCTAAGTTTTGAAGGGTTTGTAAGAAATGTTTGAGGAAACTTACTTAGTGCTTAACATATCAAGTCAGTTTGCTCAACCATTTCTCACAAATCCTTCAAAACTTAGAATTTTCCGATGCAAAATTCCTCTGTGATCACAGAAATTTTGATAGTGTAAACAAGTCCTTAATTAGAACACTGTCGGTTATATTTATACTCCATGTCTGTGGAATGAAAAGAATCAGTACTCTATTGTACTTCGTTTCAATGGACAGACAGTTATACAGTTAATTAAATTAAGGTCATCTTCGTGAAGGTCATAACAGTATCAGTGATGGATCAATGTCACAATGAATCGAGACATTTAAAATTTACGATACATGGTATTTATGGAAGTTATTTAAGTAAATATAGCCGACACGCATTCGTAATTTCCATTTTAAACTCTTGTGCCTGTACTGTGTCTTAACAAGGGATTAATGAAAGCATTTTAGTCTACTATCATTTTTTTGGAAGAAGATTGAGTGTTATATTAGAAGGAGAATATACTTTAATTATGGAAAAAACATCCGTAGACATTTTTAAAACGTATCTTGTCTTACTATTTTGTAATGCCATTTTATTTTTAGTTCATACAAACGTCCATAGAAATAATACCCCCCTCCCCATAGTACAATATTGGGCCAAATCGTGATTTTTGGAACACAAACCAACATTGTAAACGGAAGGGGGAAGTTCAAAAGTTCATGTCATTAATTTCCATGATTGTAGCCCAATTCCACCAAAACCCTACCCTGGATTCCAGAGCCTTCGACAGTAAATAATAAATTGAAATGTCGCGAAGGCTCTGGTTCAACGGGGCGATTCTTTGATTAAACCGCGCCAATCACAAAACAGAATTAGTGATTTTAGTACAGATTCTGTACTAAAACCACTAATTCTGTTTTGTGATTGGTGCGGTTTAATCAAAGAATCGCCCCGTTGAACCAGAGCCTTCGCGACATTTCAATTTATTATTTACTGTCGAAGGCTCTGGAATCCAGGGTACCAAAACCCCCAACCCCCTGTAAAAATTTTGAAATCTGGAGTCTCCATGAAATTGAATTTTCTGCGTTCTGGGGAAGATTTGACGTTAGTTCAGCTGTGTAAGTAGTATAAAAAGATTAAATATTTAATTCAGGGATGGATTTACTGGGGGGGGGGGGTACGCACCCCCCTAGCCCTGGCCAGAGAGGGTGCAGGGGGGGTGCTATTTTTCATGATAAAGCAAAAAATTATTAGAGACAAAATGACATTCAGTATTTTGAGTAATAACATGATGATAAGCGAACTGTGAACAACAATTACAATTCAAACACTGAAGTCAAGCAAGACTTTGCAGTAGTGAAGCAAGTTGATGGGCGGGCGGCACACATGACCGACACAACTCGGCACCAGAGCTGGCAGAGCACCCCCCTACCAGATCATGCTGGATCCATCCCTGATTTAATTGTCTTTTCAAGATCTAGTCTACCTAAGCATGTATATATTATCATCATAAATAGTCGCAACAAAATGTTTTCTGTTTATTCAGTTTAATAAAACAGTAAAAGTAGATATTACATTATCCTACTTGAGTTACGGTGTCTGAAGGGAGCTTAAGAGGCATTAATCGAGTATTAATCTTTCTAACTTGATCTTGTTTTGTTGACTTTCTCTTTGAAGTGCCGTGAAGTGGGCTTAATTTCACTTTAAGCCTTATGACAAACACAATAAACGGATTAAATCGGACTGCATATAAGTATACCAACTAATCGTTTGCTGTTTTGGTCCTCAGTAACTGGTGAATAATGAGTTTTATCGTATTCTTAGCCGTCTTTGAACACTGCGCAATAAGCTTGAGGCAAATCGGTTTGGCAAGAGCAGAGATCGAGTAAACGAACTACAAAAGATCAAGTGCAGACGGATTGCAGAGGCCGCGGAAGCATTTCGAAAGTGGAGGGGCATTAGCCAAAAGGGGCTTTTGTATATGACCAAAATCAAACGATTTTATGACGTTCACGAGCCGAACGAAAATTTTTGAATATATGGAGTCTCTATAACGTCGGAAATGGCCTTTACAGAGTCTTTACTACTGCGAAAAGGGCATTTTCTTTCCAGAAAAAGAGGGCGTTTACTCAAGAAATACTTTTTTCGTTCCCTAAATGGGGCACTTAAGCCCAGAAAAAAGGGCACTTTTTTCACGTTTAAAAAAGTGTGGGGGGGCACATACCCCCATTGCCCCCGCGACCTCTGGACGATTGAATCAGTCAACGTGAGCTGTAATGTAGGTTTTCCTCCATAGGAAAGTGTAGAGATAATTGTCTCTTAGATAAACGATGTTTTCTTCATTAAAAAATAACTATATTATATATATTATAGCTAGCTACATTCACCTGCCAATTATTGGAAAAGTACAATGCCATATTGCCATATTCCAATGGGCAATGGCAATGATTACACTAAATTCATACAGCGAGTGTATATTAAGACTTATAAAGTTCAATGCACAAGCATGGACGTTATTGACGGAATTTTTAGTGACGACTTTGAAAGGAATAAAGAATCTTCTGACTAAATGGGCTGTCATTAATTATCTCTTGCATTCAGTACATACTATAAACTGTGTCAGAGGCTAATTTAGGCTAAACGCCTAAAGCTATAGTAAGCCTTAAACTTCCCAAATGTTTTTTGTTTGTTTCTCGGTTTATTAATCCATTGATAATTAAAGATCACGTTTAAGGTATCTGAAGATTAAGACTGCTTTTCTATAACTTAAGCTTTTTCATTCGTGCGTGTAAATCTCGTTGTTTTAAGCAGATGACAAACACAACATAAAACGACTAAATCGATTAACCTAATGAATGGACAATATAGTTTTAAATCGAGGCGGACAATGTAATCCATTTAAAATAAGTAGTTTTTATTGTCAGCCGGTAAATTCTGGAAGTGTTTATAGGAAAGCTTGAGGACAAACCTATATGCTGACCATTTTTTTCTTAACGAATCTTGCGGCGATCCGTAAGTTCAAGCTGCTAAATGTACTTTTCAGTTCACATGATTCAATCGAAGCTGGTAGATTTACTCATCATCTGATTGAATCAGGAGACGGAACACAACTCACAAGATCGAGCGATTTTGCATCAGTCTCACTGATAGGAGTTTCAAACTGTCAAACAACATGACATGATGAGATGAGGACCGTAGACTGATCGAGGCAATCCTGCAATAGGACTTTCCCCTTATGAGTGAAATTTTGATCTAGATATGCCTGGACAAAAATTTCGTCACAGCTTGAAAGAGCATCGCAATATTAGTAATATTCCGAAGTTTCGTTGATGAATGTTGTAAAATGTGGATAATATAGCCTTGCGAGGTTTGCCGTTTTTCAGCCATTTTGTATTACAAATGGGAAATTGATAATCAGTTTGATCATCTGATTATCAATTTCCCGTTTGTAATGCAAAGTGACCGAAAAACGGCAACTTCGCATTTTACAACATTTCGCAACGAAACTTCGGAATATTACTAATTTTGTGATGCTCTTTCAAGCTGTGATGAAATTTTTGTCCAGACTTGTCTAGATCAAAATTTCACTCAAAAGGGGAAAGATCTATTTGTGTTCCTCCCATTTTTGCCAGTGATGAAGATGGGCATCCGGATAGCATTGAACTGAGGCTAGGACACTGAGGACAGAGAGACCTGGCTATAGTAGCTTTTCTCATCGTCTTTAGCGAGGCGGACATCGTCTAGACGATTTTGGATGAAAATAGTTTAAACAATGCCAAACTCGAGCCAACATTTCCTCACATCAGCCAAAATTGCCCAACACTTAGTGTTAAAATGAGGCCAACAATGCTGAATTCAACAATGCTGGGAAAAATAAATATGTTGTCCTCGTTTGAATGGGCCTTTATACAACATCAGACTACTATACTGTAGAACGACCAAATCACATCCCCTTACCCGGCAGTATCCCAAATGGCAATCATTGATCGGGATCTTTGCGATCACACATGATCTATTTTTCTAGGCCTACTTATTAATAATAGCCCACTAAATCGTGTTGAATCATTTAAGTATCTTGGTATAACCTTAAATCAGACATTATCGTGGTCAGATCATATTGAAGCACTCTTTACCAAAGTTAATCAACGTCTTGGTATCATACGAAGAGTTAAGCACCTCCTAACAGTTGAATCTCGTCGTACTCTAGTAAACAGCCTTGTCATGCCGATCTTTGACTACGCTGATTTTGTGTGGGGTGATAAAAACAACTCTGTCCTGATGAACAACCTTCAAGTTCTGCACAACAAAGCCGCTAAAATCATTCTTGACGCTCATCCACTCTCGTCAGCCTCAGAATCCCTACGATCGTTAAATTGGCAGCCGTTAACAACACGTAGACACTTTCATCGTTGTCTAATCATGCACAAGTCTTTAAACAATGACGTCGATTTTAAATTTAATTTCAAGTTCTCCTCTGACATCCACGGCTACAACACTCGAAACAAACTCAGAACATACATTTGGAACGCGTGAAGAAGAACTGGGGGAAGCAGGCACTCGATTAACTACCATGCTGCCAACGACTGGAATAGTCTGCCTGTGGAACTCCAGAATATACGTCAAATTAAAACTTTTAAAACTAAACTAAAGAAACATTTAGCTATATAGCCATAGGACACCCCACCGAACCGATAGGATGCGCAAGTACTTTATACAATTTAACCTTTCATATATTCACTTTTGTTAGTTTTATATTTTTATTCTTTTATTTATTTTTTTATCAGGGCCCCACTGAAAATCACTTTCGTGAGTGGACCCCCTGACTAAATTTTGTAATTATTATTATTATTATTATCTCATATTTACAGTGGTGGCGGAACTATAGTTGTATTTGAAGGGACTAGTTTTCAGCTAAGTTGGGGACCGTAGTTTTCAGCTTAAGTGCAAACACGATATGCAAAACATGATCCAACTGTCACAACAGGCGTAGGAAGATATTTAAAGATTTGAAAAATTGAGGCTCGAAAATGCCATTTTGTTGCACTTTCTGGCACCGAATTGAAGAATTTGGACAACAATTGGTGGGGTTAAAATCGCCGGCAAATTAGCATAGTTGAACTATCTGGCGATGAGAAAAGTTCACGCTTTCAACCAAGAATTTTTTAAGAATACCAATTTTGACCAACAGGTCGACAAAATGTTGAAATGCTTCCAAAAATAGCATTGTTATCATTTTGCTGACTAGAGATAACAATTTCTTTTACTTTATTTTAAGTACATTTTTTGTGGGGGGCCACTTTTTGTCTACCCCCTGTAGTTCGAGCCCCAATCGAAACAACGAATTTTTGGTTGTTCCAATTCGTATCCCAAGCAACAAGCGCAGAAGCCTTGAATACGAGGTTGATGTTTTTCCCATCATTTACCTACTCACTGGTTGGGTATGTGTGTAGATGACACATGTCATAGACAAAAGTCACAAAACTCAACTGAAGATAATATATTGGCTAAGTCGGTGTATTAATCGAGGCAAACGCATCCTCTGCCAAAACACGTGCCAACAATCGCCAAACATGTGATACTTGGTTATGATGGTTATAAGAGGGATTAACTCATAATCTTATTTTGCCCAACACGAAACTATAAAACTAAAATGGCATCTGTTTTAAATATTTGTATTCGATTTCTTGCATTTGATTATAATTTTGGCATCTAGGAATAGAGCCAAAATTATCCTGTTATAGCCGGTGAACTGATGACTAGCTTCCCCTGTGAGAACATATGCCAAAATCGCACTCCCTGGCTAGTTTATGAGAGGGATTATCCATAATCCTATTTTGATTTGGTAATAGTCGTTTATAGGTTTGCAAACCACTACCGTATTTTTAATGCCGAACCGCTAGTTTTGGCACAGTGATTAGCATACCTGCCTTTTATCTCTGCGAGTTACCGGATTCTGGCAAGATGCAGTATCATGATGTTATGACTATACACAATTACACTGCGGATTTTATCTGGGGGGTTAAGGGTCTGGTCATATGAGTTGGGAAATTCACCTGAGTGCATGGGATATCATGTTGTTTAATTATTTGACGCATATAAAATTCAAGTTGTGTTCATATGGGAAATGCGGTCGGTGGGATTCCAATCAAGTAGGATAAAATTTTTCATATGCATGGGAAGGACTTTTTTCCCGATTTTGAGCTGCAATATAGTATTGAACGACATAGTTGCAAACAAACAGACAAACAATATTGGTAGTCCTAGACAAACACTATAACTCATAATACAATCTCAAGGTGTAGTTTGTTTAATATACCTTTTCCCTTATGAGTGAAATTTTGATCTAGACAAGCCTGGACAAAAATTTCATCACAGCTTGAAAGAACATCACAAAATTAGTAATATTAATTCCGAAGTTTCGTTGCGAAATGTTGTAAAATGCGGATATATAGCCTTGCGAATTTTGCCGTTTTTCAGTCATTTTGTAATACAAATGGGAAATTGATAATCAGATGATCAAACTGATTATCAATTTCCCGTTTGTAATACAAAATGACTGAAAAACGGCCAACTTCGTAAGGCTATATTATCCGCATTTTAAAACATTTCGCAACGAAACTTCGGAATATTACTAATTTTGTGATGCTCTTTCAAGCTGTGATGAAATTTTTGTTCAGACTTGTCTAGATCAAAATTTCACTCAAAAGGGGAAAGGTTTATTGCAACAAAAATATTTCGAACGTGCCGTGTACTGGCCCATGTTTACATAAAATGTCGTCCCATCGAGGCTGGATATTAGGAGGTTCACTACGCTACCTCTCTCTGGCTTAATACGCATTTGATTGGTTAATCGTGTAGACTATATGCATCTGATTGGTTATTGATAACTGTAGTCAAAATTTGAACTTCTTTATTAGATGGGATAAAACCATCAAATATGAACACAGGAATAATTCATCCCACTCAGGTGAGCTTTTGATAGAGCTATCCAGCGTAAATGTTTCATCGTTACTAGATTACATTGATATCGAAGGAACTAGACTCAGTTCTGAAATATCACATACTCGAACCGTCCTGACCGCGTAGCTCAGTTGGCGGAGCATTGCCATTGGGCTAGTATTCCAAAGGTCGTAGGTGGCCAGGCATATTTTTCAAGCTTGCCCGGTGTGGATATATACCACTGATCAGATCAGTGATGTATACCACAGTATATACTCAGAGTAACATCACAAGCATCAAACTAGTGATCAAAGTCAGTTTAGTTTAGGTTTCCTCCTGTAGTATTAAGGCTGGGTTATACTATCAAAGTTCAGTTCTGTGATCACAGACACAGTAGGAATTTTGCATAGATAAATTCTAAGTTTTAAAGGATTTGTAAGAACTCGAGGGACCTTACTCAGTGTTTAATTAAACACTTGGTCAGTTTCCTCAAACATTTCTTACAAATCCTTGAAAACTTAGAATTTACCTTTGCAAAATTCCTACTGTGATCACAGAAGCTTTGATTGTCTAAACCAGCGGCTTACAATAGGAACTCATTTTTTTCAAATCTCAATTTTGCACACAAACACTCATTAAAGCCAAGCGTTGCTGATAATTATTCTATATAGACAGGGACTGGGTACGAGTCGGCACTTAAATAGAACTAGTTCGCCTACATCATAGATCGTATCTCGATTCTTTTCCATATTCAGTATGAATAAAGGTAGTTTAGTTTAGTTTAGTTTAATACTTATTCAAATATCTCATTGTCTTTCGTGCACCGGAACAGTCTCAAGCACGGAAGCCGTTTACGGAAGTGCGTTTACAATACAACGAATAACGGATCTTTCTATACCCAAGCTATATATAGCCATGACAGAGTCATCCTGCATAATAAATTACCCGCAGGAAATACGCAGTATATTGGTCCGTGTATCTGTGTGTGAGATAATCTATAATCATATGACACATGGCACGTGTCGCTATGAACACTTCTCATGACTAATATCACGAAATACAATTATAAACTGCACGGAATTTGGACTGGTGGAAAAGACGGAGTGCGTTATCGGAGTGCGAAATACGGAGTACGGAGTCGTGGAAAACGAATCTTTAGGCAAAATAACCAATTTTTTGACAGACTCCGTACTCCGTCTTTTCCTCCATGCCACGGAATTTGGCATGCACGTAGTTTCCCAGATTGTTAGGTGATCTGAGTTTGAAAGCTGTGTATTAATAGGGATTCAACTATCTGGAGGAATACAAGGAGAACTTATCAATCTGAGGTTCTGCTTGTATTGGCACTTATTAAACTGGAGTTACACGAGCAACAAAATTGCTGCAACTTGCAACAAAATCTGATTTCAGCGCATGTTAAGTAGAAATGTCGACACATGTTGCCTTGTGATTTGTAATTTATGTGTGAACATTTTCAATTAACATGCGTTGAGATCAGATATTGTTGCAAGTTGCAGCAATTTTGTTGCTCGTGTAACTTCACCTTTACCTACACTGGCATAGACACTGGCATAGACCAAGATTTTGTTGGCATCTCACTCGAGTGAGACAAAGATTAAGCTTCGATTAAGCCATCAGAAATAGAAAGATATTCAAAATTGTCGCGTTCCCAAATTTGGACGCCCAAATTCCAGACCATATCCATGCAAAATTTCTAAATTAGTTCAGTTTAGATTTTGTTCTCCTAGTATAACACTTGGTGAATGAAGAGGGTGTAGTGAAGTCTGTTTATAAATAGTTGCACGTGCTCTGGTATATAGAGCCATCCATGATCATGTATGTGCAGTATATATATAACTAAGTTAGGTCCGTTTAGCATTTCCGCTATAGTTGAGGGAAACAACTCATCCAAACAAATTTCTCGTGGGAACCAACGATTAAATTCTCAATTAACCTTCATGCATTAAACGTGGGGGCTTAATTTTGTTGGCAGTATCTATCTAAAATAAGTTGCTGTGGTTTGTGTGTTAACTACATGAATAATAGTTGAAGGGTTTTATAGATGGAAATTATCAAGTGTAAATTTCAGTACATTTATTAGACCTAAACAGGAAGAGTCATACCTTGACATGGCAGCTCAGAGTACCCTAGTATATATATATACATGAACTTGTGGTTAGAGCTCGATAACTGGACTCTGTAGCTCAGTTGGTCAGAGCGCTGCATTGGAATCGCAACGTCGCTGGTTCGAGTCCTGCCAGAGAACGTATAGTTGCATTTTTTGCAGCTGTTCCTATCATTTCCATCTACAAAATCCTTCAAGCCATTATAATTTCAACTCATTAACATGCGAGAAGAGGGCTTCCAGTTTGACTCTTCCAAAAACTGCAGTGTTTTTTCCTCCGCATCGGCACTCCTGTTCCTGCCATGAGGAAGATCAGTTTGGGAGCGATCCATGCATGTGGTACAACTATCTCGCAAATATGACCCTATCAGATTGAGAACCTACGACTAAAGCCTCCAACTTGCCATTTAGACAGCCATTTTTATCAGAACCAATTCATAGCCTTCTCGCAACGGCTCAATTTGTAGTTTCACTCAGTTAAATTCACTGTTAAATTCTGGCACTGAACATGTGTTATAAACACTGACTCAGTTCCCTGAAACATTAGTACCTATGCAAAATTCCTACTGTGATCACAGAAACTTTGATAGTGTAAACCATCCTTTATAACACTCAGTAAGTTTCCTCAAACATTTCTTACAAATCCTTCAAAACTTAGAATTTACCTTTGCAAAATTCCTACTGTGATCACAGAAACTTTGATAGTGTAAACCATCCTTTATAACACTCAGTAAGTTTCCTCAAACATTTCTTACAAATCCTTCAAAACTTAGAATTTACCTTTGCAAAATTCCTACTGTGATGACAGAAACTTTGATAGTGCATTATTATATAAACAAGCTGGAAAACTAAATGTTCTTGTACCGGATTTTTAGAGTGCAGACATTATTTTATTAGAGCTCGAGTCACGAAATACAACTTAATCTTCTGATCAAGTAAGTATAAGAGCCTACTGATTCAACCTGACCTGCATGGAAAATAGTAGGTTCTTATATTATACGCGGGATTTTACTGTAGTGAAGACTGTTTATACATATATTGGTAGAGCTATTCACGGTCTTAGCCAGCTTGTCGTCCAACTGTCTATTTATGAATGGCCATCTTAGAATTTTTGGATGGCCACTTGAAAACACGGTATTTTGGACGACATTTTAACTTCTTGTCAGTGTCATCTATACCATTTTCTAAGAACGTTTTTAACTCCATTATTCATCGACAGTCTGTATTCATTTAGAAGCGGAATGTGATCTATCACGCAAGTTCGTAAATTAATTTTATCCCGGCCCTTAGATTAAGCCATCAAAAATAGCAAGATATTCAAAATTGTCGCGTTCCCAAATTTGGACGCCCAAATTCCAGACCGTATCCATGCAGAATTTCTAAATTAGTTCAGTTTAGGTTTTGTCCTCCTAGTAACACTTGGCGAATGAAGGGGATGTAGTGAAGACTGTTTATGAATAGCTGCACGTACTCTGGTATATAGAGCTATCCATATGTGCAGTATATAACTAAATTAGGTCCGTTTAGCATTTCCCCTATAGCTAAGGGAAAAACAACTCATCCAAACAATTTCTCGTGGGAACCAACGATTAAATTCTCAATTAACCTTCATTCAACGTGGGGGCTTGGCTCTCTTGGCTGTATCTATTTGACACTAGAAGTTACTATCGCAAGGGTGGTGCTGCCTCAGCCCGTGGGATTCAAATGCAGCATGTGCAATTTGCTGAATAAGGGACTGAATATGATCCCGCTTTGCCAAGACGAGTCGCGAGGGCTGGCGTGAGGCGGGGTTATTTTGATGTATTGAAATAAGTCACGGTGTCGATTCAGCAAAAAAAAAACATTAAAAAACCGGCTACATTATTTTCTAGTGATAGATTAAAGTTAGCTATAAACGAAAGGTTATCCAAGCAGCAATAATAATCTTCTTGAACTACGAGATCTTCTCGACAACATTTGAGTTCTGTTAACCGGCATTTGAACTTTTGCGCTTAGCCTAGTCAGTGACTTATTTTAATACATCAAATTATCAAAATCATCCCGCCTTCCATCATGTAAACAGCCCCTAAGACGTCTGTTCAGGAGGTAGGAAAAGTGCAATGTGAATATCAAACACCGAAATAAGCTGCTGCAGTGGTTTGTGTGTGAACTACATGAAAAAAATACAAATTTGGCTATCGTTGTTTACATCGTCATCGCGTTGCTGCCCAATTTAGAACTTTAGATAACTCACACGCCTACTTACGATCCGTTCTAGTTTACTCCGAAGTGTAGAATAGAACAAACGTAACTAGGCATTAGAATTATGTATAAGAGTTATATTAACTCATGACTCATGTACTAGATAATTCTGAAGCTTAGTTATACCTCTGTTCTATCCTATGCCTCGGTAAACTAGAAGAATAGTAACTAGGCATTTGAGTTATCTGAAGATTAAAGTTGTGAATTGGGTATAGACCGAACATTAGGCAAATTTGATGTTTGTGATGTTACTCTCTGAGTGTATACCCTGGCCACGGTGGGAATCGAAGCTACGACCTTTGGAATACTAGCCCAATGCTCCTCTGCCAACTGAGTACATAACACCAACACAGAAAATCATTACTGAGGCAAATTTGTCTACATAACTGAACTACCTGCAGGCAAAAGTTTTAATATTTTTAGGTAGTTCAGACAAAAAACTACTGCAATTTTGATTCACAAGAAATTCAAACATTTTTCTGTTCTTTTCTCATAGAACAAGTCAACTGGGGAACATAACATCGACGTTAAATTGCAGTGGCTGACAATTTCGGAAATTCTCAAGGAAATGAAATCCATGCACGCAAAGTAAATCATATATGAAGGTACAGAACTTTCTGAATTCTGTATATTTTGATTCTGAGGCAAAATTAATAATGTACGAAATTTTTCTGGAATCTTAAAAGATAAGGCCCTTTCAATGATGTCAATCAAGACAATGGAACATTCCGATCACTGGATCGTCTGAAGGGAATGAAGCAAGTCTGTTTGATCATAAATCTTGTAACAAGGTGATAACAACTTGTTCCACTGACTTGTCGCAACAACTGGGAACAAGCATCGTGAACACATCCTGATATCGAGTTGACAACAACCCCTCCACAACTATAAGCAACGTCTTACGAGTTTTGTCTATCATGAAATTCGTTTGAATCGAACCATCTAAATTTAAAGTAGAAGGCCGATTTTAGCAGAATAAAATACATCCACTTTATTGGCCCAATCACGCACGATCTTTTTAGTCTAGACAGCTTTTCCTATTCCGGGGCGTTCAACCGCCAGAATCTTGTGAGGAAAATTTTCGTTTGTATCTTTGTTTGGATAAAAAATTATTTGTAGATCTGCAACAACTTGCACATTTTTACATGTGTAGATCTGGGCGTTCGAGTTGTTTTACACGCGTGATCCATGCAGGCATCACGTGATTCATGTCCTATTCTTCACTGCATTTTGTCACGGCACGTATTATTTCTCAATTGCACGCGTGCATACCGCGTATAGCAAATTTTCTCTGGCAAATTTTTGTGGTTCAAACAATACATTGCTGGAAAAACCGCGTGCAAGTGCCGTGCTCAAGCCTCGAATATTCTTTGTTGACTGACCAATACTGCAATAGACAGAAGAACAAAAATTGTACTTTGCCAATTTTTTCTATATGACTAGCAAACCAGCTTTGGACACATGTATACTTGTCGCAGTAAAAATTGACAAAGTTGCCTATAGTACAAAGGAGCAAATAAAACTTGTCCTTTGAAAACTTAGAGAAGTTGCTTGTCTGCAACCGGCTTACTTCGTCAGCCGCGTGTATGAAACGGATGTCGCAACAATGTTACAAAGTAGCGAAACGCAATATCATAATATCAAACAGGAGACGACGCATATAAACGTATATAGAGACTGTAATTAGCTAGAATCTTGGACACAGACTACCTTTCCCTTCAGACAGAAAATCGCATACCCCTTATGATAAATTCCACGTAAAATATGATAAGTATTTGGCATGGTTTGCCATCAGTTCAATAAATAGCTGGACGTGTATATATTGTCATACTTGGCTACTTAATTAATTTTCCTTTGCTCACTGTATAAATATCATATTGTACCGCCCGCAGTGATTAACAATATATCGTACTTGCAATGCAGCATATCGACTGTAGTAAATAATTACTCCTCCATCGCAACACAAAAGGCTATATGGCTTTCTAACGATAATTCTGAAACATTTCATGCAAAATTTGTACATTCAGACATATGCCATATGGTGCGCCGTTTCGGCCAAAACGGCAAAAGTATTCGAGAATCAGAATTCATGTCGAGAATCGGCCAAAAGTATTCGAGAATCAGAATTCATGTCGAGAATCAGCCAAAAGTGAGATTTTACAACCAACAAAACTGGTTGAGACTACCATTCCCTCTATACAAAATTCACATACCCCCTAATTATTATAAACCCCATGTTGAATCATGTTGCCCTTTTTATTAAGGCCAAGCTGCCCCAACTCAATGTTGAGCTTGTGTCATGGTAAATTACCAAATAGTCCAAAAGTTGTTTAGTAGCTGTTCACAACATTGAAATGGGGGAGAGGTGATGACGAAGTTTATTTTGTCAACTTTGCAATATTGGCTGGAATAAGCTCAAGTACAAGGGTTGTGTTCGTCATACCAGTTATTGAATTAACACTGTTTTCAACTCGTTCTGATTAAGTAAACAAAAATCATATAAGTCATTATAGATTATTCCCCTACACGAATAGAATCATCTGGCGTTATAGACAAAGTAAAATGATAAAATTTGGTGCATTTGGGCACACTAATTGCAACTCGATGGGTTAATGAGACACATTGGCCATTGCCATTGCCAGATAGTTTGGTTATCCCATTATTAATGGGACAACACTTTCCTTTCCCATCGACGAGTAAATCAAAAATATATTAACGCGACTTTTATTACATTTAATAACACACAATGTTTAAAACTATATTCAACATGAACTGTACATATTATAATATATAACTATATATATGTCGAAATTCATATTTGCAAGATATATTATTGACTATTGTAAACTATATCCTTGGACAAATTGCACCATTCTGCTTGTGTTGTACATAATTGTACACCGGCCCTTTGAATAGGTTCTTTATATTAAACTATTTGTTTAATACAGGATCAAAGAGTATACATTCACAGTTGGACGAAAGGCTGCTTACATGAGCAACTATTTAAGCCATTTCCTGAACAAGTGGGAATGCCCAGATTTTGGATATAAAGTTGTTTGTAAAAATGCAAAGCATCTATATCATATAAGTTTGGCTTGACCTCAAGTTAGAAGGTCAGACAAAAAATTTTGGAATGCAGTGGTATAATGGCCGAGAATTTGGGGTAAGGGCTAAAATTCAATAGGCATATTGACAATGCATCACCATTTATAAAAAAAGTGATCCCTGGCCCAGGTAAATCTGTACCAGACCAACTTTTGGCAGTTTTGGGGTCACAAAAATACCCCATGAATACCACACATGTGGCGTAAATGCGAAATGTAAAATCACACTGTTGTATCAATTCCAATAGGCAACCACAGTTTGACATTTAGTTTATACTGGTTGTTAAATAACAGGAAATAACTTCCTATTAAATCATTATACTTGTGGTCTGTGAATATAAACTGCATATCAAAATTCATGACCAATACTATTAAACACAAACCAAATTTTTTATCAAAGCCAACAAAGGCAAATTATCCATTAATTGATCATTGCATCAATGATAGAAAGTGCACTGATAATTGTGCACCTTCATGCTTTGGGCAACTTCAATTTTGTATATTGATTTTGTAAATATACAATGACAATACAATGAATAGCTGTTAAATCTTAGTTTCTTGCCTGTTCAAGGAAATTTTAACATGTTTCAGACCTGTCAATTTATAAAGGGAAAATGATTCTATTTATGTTGTATTAAACATCGCATTTGACTTTATTTTAGCTCTCTCGATTTTATATAAAATCTCTCGATTTTTTAAAGGGCTAAAGTGAAATCTCCCTTTTTAAATTTTGACAAGTCTGCATGTTTTAAAGAGAAATCTCCCTGTTTTAAATTTTGACAAGTTTGCATGTTTTACACTGTGACATCATAGATGCTCATGTATCAGCCTGCAAATATGTATTATAAATTCAAACATTTCATGACATTTCAAAACAGATGGTGCATTTTGTAGTGAAAGACTGCCCTCTCTCACTTGCTCTGTCATTAATTTACTATGTCTAGTATAAAAATAAGAATTTTTACATCTTATGTAAAGCTCATAATTCCGTCAGCACGCTTACATTAAAAATTGTTTTTGCATAAATGTCTCTGTTAATAAGTCATTGTTCCAGTGTAAAAATACCACGTAGAATTATATTTATAAATAAGGCATACTTCTATTAAAACCTTAATAAGTTTGCAAGTCCTCTCTGTGTCTATGTACATAAATTTGAGCCTTAAAACAGCTTTAAAAATTTGCAAATTAAATAATACAAAACAACATGCAAATTATGTCAAATCTTTAAAATGCTTGGTACACAAATTCAAAGTAGCGTGAGGCAATTCATAGTTTACGAAAAACCTTCAATTCAATTTGTTTCAATTCAGACATGGTTTTTCTTTCTATAAAATTGCCTCGCGCTATTTCAAAGTTATGGACAGTTCGTAAAACTGTATATATTATATTATTATTAATTTGGTGTCTTAAATACCTTTCAAAGACACACCAACGATTTCAGGATGCTCTTGGTTTTAATTCCAATGAGCGATTATAAAGTTCATCCTCATTTAAGTAATTCTGAAATCCCCCAAAGAACGCCATTATTTTCGGGTCCCTGTCAAACTCGTATTTGCTGATTCTAAACTTCTTGAACTCTTCCAGCATTTGAAAGAGTTGCCAGCACTTGTAAAAGTTCACTTTTCCATCAGGGAGCTCGTCTTTATTGCCCATGTATGTGAATGTGACATCTTGTAAGATCAGTCCAAGATACGGTATACATGGTGGTTTGGCTTGAGCAAGAGCTGCTCTGTAAATCCGGAACGAACCTTCGCTTTCGATCAGTGATGAGAACTGTGCCAAACATTCAGTACTAACTTTGGGGAACTCCAGTCGTCGAATTGCTGAGCAGTCGAGCGCCGAGTATATTGCCAACAACGAATTGAAGTTGTTGAACTTCCTCAAGAACTTCATGATCTTGAGGAACTTCGCGTACACTTTCTCCCGATCATGAACTTTCGTGAATGATAAGATGTATGTACGACACCAGTATGACACTTGATTAAAATGCTCCGTAAATGCAGCCAGGTTCGGAGCCAAATCTTCATTCTGGGCTTTACCCCACGACAAAATCTCCGGGATCTCAATCCGACTGTAATACTGGGCATCCTGGATAGTTAGCTGCCTTGCAATATCTTCGCTGTGAAACGAAAATATTGAGCAATGTCTGTCTACTGATTCCGCTGTCGTAAATGTAATGCTATCCATGTGATAATGCATCTCGCTCTTCGGGATAATACGATCACGCACTTTCTTCCCGAACATTAACTCACCATTCGAAAACAAATGATGCGATTCTTTAACAAGCATATCCAAAATATTTTTTGGAATTGGAGCAACCAAGTCATCAATGACTCTTAACAACAGGAGAAATGCATTGTTACCAGCACGTTTATGTTGCTTCTCTTTCATACGATGTCCTCGATAGACTAGTCTACTAATCAGTTCATGAGGAGTGATAAAAGCTCGATATGTAGTAATGAAAGCTTCTGAATATACAAAGTCTTTTTTGCTAGAGTTTGTTGCATGTACAATTAGTGCATCTGCAACACCTCCATACAGTATCGAGCCGCTAGGTTCCTCGCGAAATACCAAAAACTTACTTACATCTAGAGAATCCAAGGGTGGTGTACATTCTTCATCACTGCTGCTGCTTAAACTGGACTCGCTTGTGGCGTGGGTCATTGACACATCCGGAGGTGCCAATTTCTCGTCTCCTATCATGGGAGGTAACTTTATCTTCATCTTAGGTAAACTCCTGTAATCTAACGACTTTGTCTTTCGGGAGTCGCTGGTTGGGGACAACGGTTGTTTCCAGTCAGGCTTTTGAGTTAACGGGATTTTGGCATGGATTAAAGTCGTACCCTTGTTGTCGCCAAGAGCACTTGCCATTTTCTCTACTGTAAAGTTCCGCATATCTTGGTAATTATCATAAACGGAATTGACAGACATAGTCCGTTCTAAGAATTCTTCGGTTGGTTTCTTGTACTCGCCTAGCACCTGGATATAAACTTGGAAAGCTTTCTTTTTCGAACTGGTTGCATTCTCGGTTGAACTCACAAATTGTGCTCTTTCCACCATTGATCTTGCTCCGATCATTTCAGGAACCTCGTCAAGTTCCTCTATGGATTGTGAATCGGACAAGTCTGTGCTACCGCGGTCGATCGTGCTCGAGCCGAAACTGGAAATTGATTCCGTACGAGATTCGGAATTGTGGTTCCAATATTGGTGATGCTGTACTTGTTGATTTTCGTGCATGTACTGTGTTACCTTTTCCGTCTTTTTGCTCCAATCGGTTGCTTGAGATTGCGATGTCTGGTGGTAGGTGGTGGTTTTACTGACCGTACGAGTACTACTTGACAAGGTAGAAGACGAAAACGCCATTTCTCGAGAGGACCCCACACTTCGGGGGGAAAATGGGCTCAAGGGACTGGACGGTGGTTCGTCGAGGAACGATCGTGTCGCAGGGGACCATGCTCGTACTGCTAGGGGGCTATCTTCGACACTTGTAATACTTGGTGTCTCAGACAGACATGTCCCAGAATCTGTGAAATGGGTCGATACAGGGGGTGACTCGCTCGTGGCGGAATTATCACTATATGCACTTCGCTCACTAATACCGGAATCGCGACGATTCTCCTCCGCACCGAGTGCGCCATTTTTCCCATTTTCAAGAACACTTTTCAGACTGCCATCCGAGTGTGACTTGGATAATTTCGTTTTCACAACTTCGCCTTTCGTAGACAAAATATCTTCGGGTTGTAGGAGCAAAACAGAGTCTCGAATTTGCCGATTCAAAGACGCTTTCTGAAGCCGAGGGATTGCCGAATCGTGCAATTCCTGTATGGACTTTTCCAGAGCATTCAAGTGGTTTAGTCCTTTTTCAATATCGAGCATGATCGCGGATTTTATCAACACATCATCGCCCCATTTAACAAGCTTCGATATACAGCTTTGCATCGTCTTTCGCATTTCCATTAGACCCGCCGATGCTTGTAACTTCAGGCAGGAATCCAACATGCTATCGATATGTATCACAGATTCGAGTAGGATTGTTATATTGTCAGGGACTTTCGACACAATTTTCTTTTCGACCACAATTCGGAAATAGTTGACAGCGCTTTTAACATCCTTGTGATATCTTTCGAATTCTTCGACGTCACGATTTTGTGTTTTTGCCGGTTTCAAAGTGCCCGAATTGTTGTCATCGACAGCAACATGAAGCGCTTTTTTGAACGAGTCCGCCCGTACAATTGTCGAGCGTCGTTTGTTACTATTACCGTGTTCGTTTAAACTCGCATGCCGACTTAAACTCGACGGACTTTTCTGTGCTTGTTTTTTAATCATTCGTAACAATGTAGAGCCTGTTGGCCTTCGTAATTTTGCTGGTGAATCCTCAACGTCCATAGCAAGTTAAATTAATACTTTTGCCTTCTGTTCCGTACAATGCCCGCTGTGTCTTCAATGACCACAAATATCAACTATTCTCAAAACGCGTTCGAATTGTTCCTCATTTCGTTTTAGAACAATTAGTCGAAGCTATGTAACCGAACGAAGTGGCGGCAACATTTAATAATAATGCTGTTTAATCGAACACAAATCTTGTCGTGGTTAATTACTGAACTTCAACTCCAAAATCGTCGTGGATGCTAAAACCAAGCTCTTGCCGAATCCCTTGCCACTTCAATAATTTGATCAAAATCCCCCTAAAGTCTCGCAGTTTCGTAGCCGATTTCGAAATTACACCCCCAACCGCAAAAATGAAATCCTTTCGAGTTGCAATTCGCAAATACAGACTTGCTATATTTACCCACGGCTCAGGGAAAATCTTTGCTTGCGACGGAAATAAGAAGCAGACAAAGCCAGATTCTCGGGTCGCGAAACGTTTTCTTCGACTTGAACGTACACACAAAAGCGGTCACTTTAGGTTTATGGTAAACAGAATACTTATACAAATAGTCTCCTTGATCGGTCCCAAGCAGACGCCAAGCGATTAAAAACTTTCTATTGACAGGTATTTTGTAAGCCTCCCCTTATTTGCCTTTTATATTCCACAATGCCTTTGAAGTCAAAAAGACTCGTTATTTCACACAATGCTTCCACTTGTTACTGTAATATTTCAAATTATTTCCGTCCGTAATTTTCCTGCTAATTTTGCCGTCGTAAAATTTCAGTTTCAACTCATTTCTTTCTGTTTCAAATTTTTCTTTTCTTATCTCAACATTAATGATAAGTATATTGAGATTCACGGATAACAGAAATGACTGTACAATAATTTACATGTTAATAGGACTTGGAATTTAGACTGTTGACTAGGTCTAATGCAGACTATTATCTATAATGCTTCCAAATATTCCCACCACGTCAAAGTAAAATTATCTAACAAAGTACTAAAGCTTGTAGGTTGTGATATCGTTCATTTTATCAAAATTTTTTTAAAATTATTTTTCTAAAACTATCAAATTTCTCCCAATTTCAAAATTTTCTTTGGCCACTAAATTTTCGGTGAAGTGGAAGCACAATGTGTAAAACGTTCTTTGACCATATATGGTTAAGAACAACATTGAGGGGTCATTGAAATGTCAGAAATATGTTGACTTTCATCTCGAAAATGCAAGCACACTTGGCCACTACAAGTACCAGGAGACTTTGTTAGTCAAGAAGCAAATGTCTTCCTGTTAAATACGGCGATTTTGCTCGAAATTTTCTCTTTTAGTTCTCTACAATTTGCTGTCGCTTGCTTGGCACTATATGACCTTTCTGCCGCACCTTCCTTTAATCCCGAACGTCACACTAACAATGCTATTAAAATTCCAAACAAAAAATATTAGCGAAGCAAGTGACGGATTTTCAATACTTTACCAAACAAAGTATAAAACGGAGACGCAGCAAAAATGTACTCGTAGTAAAAGTCGCCTGAACAACACGTCGTGTTGAATTTTATACGCAAAGTTTAAAACGACTTCACAGACTTTAGAACAGACTCTACGGACAAAACATTTAATAACGATATTCGTGAATTACTAATCACTTTAAGGCATTTTCAATTTAATATTTGACAAGCCGCCGCGCGTGGTAAAACTATCAACAAATCAGTACACTATTACAGAAAATACTGAAATTTTTTCTGAACCAAATTTTTTACTTTTGTGGTTAAATTTTAGCCATGACCGGGAAATTGTGGGAAGCAACATTATGCACAATAAACCAGCGTAATGTTTTTGACACAATTGTAATAATTGATAAAATTATCATAATTTTGTTTGTTTGATTGTTCGTATTTTGAAAGGACCATATGCTTGATGTTTACCGAACTATGTCCAAATCAACAAACGACAGCCTTGCCTTTTCACGTGAATGAAAAATACAAATGTGCCAAACACAAAGTGACGATTTTTAATGACATGCTCTGTTAACGTTTATAGTACGTTGAATATTTTTGCCAGAATAAGTATAGCTTGCCAAAATATTATTCACTATATACGTAAATACAAAAACGAGATAAAAATAGTGTGACTTTTCGAGAACAAACGTTTCGTTTGACCACTAATTACTAAAAATTTCCTGGCGAAGACGTGATTTAATACTCGAGAAAGAACAAATGAAAAAGAGTGCTTTTACTATTGTAAATAGTTGCCATCTTTGCGTGGGTAGTTGTTCGTGTCCGCAAACGGCACAGCCTACAGGAATTGGCATTGGTGTGCCAAAAGGACACCAACACTGACGTATACGTCATACAGCTTCGGACGAACTTGGGCAAAGTCAAAGAAAAGATAGTTCATATTATACGGTATTAAATATCGAAGGGTTTGCAAGCTAGATATAAAATTCACACTCGAAATAGGCAATTCCAGCTTTTAGTTTACACGTGCAGGGGATGATGGGAAGTAAGGTATCATATTGCTGATTATGCTGAAAAATTTCAATAAAAACTGCCGAAACAACCCAAATTTACGGCATCAACTATTTCGCTGACCTCAGAATGACATTTCGTCAAAACTTTTTTCTTCAAGATTGGTTTAGAAACAAATTTGGAGTAGGGTTAGGTTAGGGTTAGCGTAAGGATTAGGGTTATGGTTAGAGTTGGTGTTTGGAGTAGGGTTAGTGTTAGTAAACCCGTTGCTTTGTTACGTTTTGTCACTCTGAGGCCAGCGAAATAACCTCTTCCCCAATTTACAAGTATAAGCTATCACTCCGTGTTTACACGGCCACCATTTTTATTTTTTCAGCATAATCAGCAATATGATACCTTACTTCCCATCATCCCCTGCACGCATAAACTAAAAGCTGGAATTGCCTATTTCCATCTTGTATGAAGATATTGAAGGCCGCAAAAGAACGAAAAAATATATGAATTATCATGAAAATATCTAGCATGATTTATTCCCAGCTATATAGTGTTAATTATGTAGATCAGTGGTTATAGGCTGGACTGGCCCGGTTAACCGAGATACCGATTCGTTTTAATAAAACTCTTATCACGGCTTTGATAAAAGTCCAAAATGACATTTCAAAGTGGAATTAGCTTAATTAGGTTCCAGTAACAGTATAAAGTTTATTCGAACGACCTCGGTGGCATATTTTTCAAGCTTGCCCGGTGTGGGATATACACTCAGAGTAACATCACAAGCATCATATTCACCTGAGTCGGCTAAAAATGCACAGGTTGTTCCAAGTTGATATCGACAGGCGTGAACAATGTTGTGCGGCCAACTATGAACAAGTTGTCAACCATGTTGTTCCAAGTTGTTACAGTTGAACAATGCTGTAACAACATGTTGGCAATACTGTTCATAGTGGGCCGCACAACCTTGTTCACGCCTGTTGATATCAACCTGGAACAACGGTTGTTAATTTTCTCAATTTTTACGCGTGTACATTACACCAACACAGAAAAAATCATGATCTTTTATGGTCAAGAAACTGAATTTTCGTGACATGATTCATCCTGGATAGCCGGGCTTGGTTCATATGAACAGCCCCTTTTATCCATAAAAGAAAAAACATGGTCAATATTTTCATTTTCTTTTCAGACTAGAAAATACTAGACCCCACTGATGTAGACGACGAATATACTAGAATTTTGAAGGTTTGTATTCGGATATTTTTGTTTGTTTTGGAAGAAATAAATCATGTGTGGGCAATGACGATGCCCAAATTCAGCATTACCATTTGAAGTCGGCGAAACAAAAAAAAAGTTTCATTTTCTGTTCATTTTTCCGCATTTCCGTGCCTTTTTATAAATTTCCAATAAACTTTCTGAAGTTCGTAATTTGGCTACCATAGCAACAACCACGTATTGATCATATCTACGAAACTAGTAGCAATATTGCAAAATATACCGGCCCGGATCTTCAGTCACATTCGGAAAAAAAAACACATAAGATTGAAGTTGGATAACGTTACAGATCGAAATTGCGTGGGGTTCTTTCACGAAAGGACTGATATATCGAGTTTCAAATTATAGGAAGGCACGCACGTCCGTTTTCGAGTCACGGGAGACAAGCACGTACGGTGAGTCAACACTGTCATCTCATGGAGTCACGGGGCTTTAGCAATGGACCATTTGTTTTGCATTATAGACTAAATTTTGATCTGGACAAAAATTTCATCACAGTTTGAAAGAGCATCACAAAATTAGTAATATTCCAAAGTTTCGTTGCGAAATGTTGTAAAATGCGGATAATATAGCCTTGTGAAATTTGCAGTTTTCAGTCATTTTGTATTACAAACGGGAAATTGATGCCCCAACACCCGATTGGGCTGTCAATTTCCCGTGCGTAATACAAAATGACTGAAAAACGGCAAACTTCGCAAGGCTATATTATCCGCATTTTACAACATTTCGCAACGAAACCTTGGAATATTACTAATTTTGTGATGCTCTTTCAAGCTGTGACGAAATTTTTGTCTAGATCAAAATTTAGTCTATAATGCAAATGGTCCATTAGCTAGACACCATCAAAGTTTCTGTGATCACAGTAGCACTGATTTTGTATCGGTAAATACTATAGGGCGCTTTCCATTTAATGGCCAGACCTGTTAGACGAGAATTCTGTCTCGGTATTAATGGAAAGATCTGTCCAACGTTTCTCGAAAATCTAGCGAAAATGGGCCTCCTGGCTTCTAATTCAGATCCAAATGTTCCGGTCAGAAAGGTCCGAACCCCAAACTTTTTGTGTTCCATTCAACAATTTTACCATTCTGACCGGTCGGTAGGACGGTTCTTGTGCTTCTCCCAGTAGAGACGGGGAAAAGCACAAGAAATCATCTTCATTAAAAATGCCATTAATTAACATCCTTAATCACAAGAGACCCAGGCTCTATTTACCCGCGCGGGCAACCTTAATTAGCTAGCATCAATATATTGATTTGATATATTGCTAAATATTGGTATTGCGTATTCCATATTCAGCGGAAATTATGCTGTTTTATTAAAACCGGTATCTTTCAAATTTTATAGTTTTAAAACTCGGAATCTATACGGAACCACGAGAATTCGGTTAATCTAGTTAGAACCACCGACAAAAACTAAAATCCAATAATGAATTAATCCCTCCCTTTCTGAAGACAATTTGTAGACAGTGAAAACCTAATATAGCCTGTTGTATTTTCGTTCCGGTTTTGCTCATATACAAAACATAAAAAATATGCTAAAATAAAAGCTAGAGCTTATGTCACATTCTATATTTAATGATTGCTTGTAAGATTTCAAGTTATGAATTAATTATTTATTAGAAATGTTATGAATTGATTATTTCATTAAAAATCATATCTATTTTAGGATATGCATTAAATATGACATATTCTCTTGACAACTTGATTTATCTTCATTCTTGATCAATTTTTTTTACAATTTTTTATACATAAGCCACCACCAAGTTTCTAGTGAATTCTGCACCTTTTGTTTGTATATTTTTATATTCTACTCTTGAGAGATGTTAATTCGTGAAATCAGTGAAGAATTTTCAATATGTTGAGAAAACATCAGCGGAGTGTATATTTATAGCTCAGTGGCGGAGTGTAATGAAGACTCGTATTTGGCAAT